GAGAATTGCTTAAGCCCAAGAGTTGCAGGTTGCTGTGAGCTGTGACACCACAGCACTCTACTGAGGGCAACATAGTGAGACTCTGTCTCAAAAAAACCCCAAATTCTCAGTCTATTGTGGCAGTGTGTGGCTGTCCCAGAATTAACTCACTGTATTTGCTTTCATTGTTTCTCAGCTGTACATTCATCATTTCAAAAATAGTACCCAGATAGGGGGAGGTGAAATCAAAAGGAAAGACTGGGGAACTTTCATGTACTCCACAGAAAGGATACACAACTTTGGCACCAAGCCTCACACAATAAAAATCATTAGTGGCCCTCATTCACCATTCACAATTTGTACATTGCTTCCTCTTCTTTTTTCTACAGGCTATCTTTTCCCACTTTCTTCTCCCTTCAACCAACTTTCTACCTATGTTATGAATTAGGTCTGCCTGTTATACCCAAGGGCACTGCTGGTAGGACTTCATTTATTCAACTTAATAAATTCTGTATTCAGCATTGGGCCAGGTGATGAGAATGTCTTTTTTTTTTTTTTGACCCAGAACTTCAGAAACTAAAGAATTTCAATGATAAGCACATTACTATCCATTAGTTGTGAGAAGCTGGGAACAATAATTACTTTTAAAGAAATTCTCAACCTGAGATTCTAAGGAAATCCTGATTTTTTTTTTTTGAGACAGAGCGTCAAGCTGTCCCCCTAGGTAGAGTGCTGTGCCATCACAACTCACAGCAACCTCCAACTCCTGGGCTCAAATGAGTCCCCTGACTCCACCTCCCAAGTAGCTGGGACTACAGGCACCTGCCACAATGCCCGACTATTTTTTGGTTGCAGCCGTTATTGCTGTTTGGGGGGGCCTGGGCTGGATTCGAACCCAGCTCAGGTGTATGTGGCTGGCGCCTTAGCCACTTAAGCCACAGGTGCCCAGCCAGGAAATCCGGATTTTAATGAACCCACTTTGAAACATATTTATGTGACTTAGGCAGATGTTCATTATTATTGTTTGTTTAACCTCTTTCTCTCACTTAACAAGGATCAAGATCTATACTTTGGAGGAGTATAATACCATCTATCCAAAAGCAAAAATAGCATAAATTGCTTGGTAATGGCTTCTCATCTTCATTCTCACCTTAAACTTATCCAAGCTGAACTACCCTAGAAAAAAGCTGTCAAAAACCTTCAAATGATGCTTTAAGATTTACTTTCTTAAATACAATCTTCTCATTCCCAAAGGACTCCAGTATAAGGTCCACATAAATTTATTTTCTAATTTTTTAAACTCTTCCTCTAATTGTAGATCAATTCAGTTAAAACATACTACAGATTTCTCCAGCTTTCAAGCTTTTGCTTTGCCCTTACAACTACCTGGAATGTACCTCTACTCCCTGCTTTGGGCAAAATTCCTCAAAGTCTTTTATAACTTTCCCCAACTGAAAATCAACTTTTATTTCCTTAGAGTTCTCACAGTGTTCAGCTGATGTCTTACTACTACCTAGTGTTACTGATATTCATGAGATTGCCTCAGTCCTTTTATTAGATAGCCTAAGGACAAAGATGTCTTAGTAGACTTAAAAAAAATCCCTTGGCTGGTACAGGCTAACATTACAAAGAAACTGATAACAAACATGGAGATCACTGATAACCCCAAATACTCAAATTCTTATAAATATGATTCGATGAATACTTATCGAATTTTTATCTTACACAAGTAACTACGCCAGACACTTCATGACATACAGATGAAAACAAGATTCTCATCTTCCACGGAAGCATAGCTTAGTGGAAAAAGCAGGATAATGACAAGACACCTACTCCAGTTTAGCAGCCGTCACTGGTAAACTGTGTGACTAAGTCACTTCTTAGGTCTCAATTACTCTGTCAAGAAGCAATATAAAAGGAACCTATTTCACGGGTTAAAAACACAAGAAAAATATAAATATAACAGTTATGAGAAATGTGCCACGAGACCCAGAAAAACTGTGCAAAACCCTCAGGGGCCGTTATTCCTTGATGTAAGGAATGGCCTGACGGGAACCAAAGTGCATCTTCCTCGAGGAGGCTGCGACGAACCCAGAGACAGTAGCGCAAGCCCGGCCGACTTGGGCCGTAGGAGGGCCGAGAGCAGCGCGCGCAGTGGGGAGGCGACCCTTACCGGGCGAGGCTCCCGGTGATCAGACGCCGCTGGCCAGCTGCCCGAAAGCTAGGCAGGAAAGATGTGGACTAGCGACGCCTCCCACAGTGGGGACACGAGACGGAGACACCCACCCGAAGAGCCGAAGCAGGGCCCTCTAGGCTTTGGCGGGCTCGAAGACTCGGTAGCATTAACTCTTCCTAGCCACCAGGACTGAGTCAGGCTGGCGGTGGGTTCCCCACAGACTGAACCACGAAAACGCAGGCTACCGCCGCCGCAGCCGGGTGCAGCTTCCTGGCCTAAGGGCGAGCATCGCCGGGGTGCGGCTGCGCGAGCGCTCGGAAACACGTCACTTCCTCTTCCGGTCAGCGCTTGTGTTCCTCTCCAGGACTGAGGTGTGGAGGGTCGGGGTACTACTGTCCAGTCGAGGCAGAGGGAGGTTGTAGGGACTCCTGTGGTGCAAAGGCCTAAGCCTCGAACGCTTGGCGGCCCCGGGTCTGGCCGCGCCTGCCTCTGGGTGGCGCAGGGCGGATAGGTGCGCTCCTCAGAGCGGCGGGGGCGGCCTGAGAAAGCCGGGGCTTCCACAGAACCTGATATCTGTCCGAGGTAACCTAGGTGTTTTCCCTTCGGCTTCGGCTCCGGAATCTCCCGAGCGGTAGTAGCTCGGGGGTAGGCAACCGTTTTTCGTAGGCGGCGGCAGTGGCTTTTCCAGGCTGCATGGCTCGATCCTGATGCGGGGCCGCCATCAGACTCCGGAAGCCATTCTCGCTGCCACAACATTGGGCGGCTACTGAAGCTCACTTGGTTACTGCACGCTTGCCCCGGCCCACCGGCATGCCTCGTAGCAGACAAAGACTGTGGCGAATCCGAGTGGGGGCTGGAGGCAATGTCTACGGTTGCGCAGGGAGAAAGTTCTTGCTCCCGCTGGCGTTTTCTTGGTCATGTTTACTGGAGGAGGACAGAACAGGTCAGCCTCAGGAGTAGTGGTCTCTGGAGCTACGAAAACATAGGAAGTGTTTTCGGGGCTGGGATAGACAGCAAAGAGCCACCCATTTCTTTGAATACTGGTGGCATCCTGGGTAGAATTTTGGTCCTGTTCCTGGCTCACCTCAAGGACAGGCACACAGGCCTTTCCTCACCTCCACTTAAGGTCTAAATGACTGAAGAAATAAAGTCAGGAGTGTCACCTTAATCATTACCAACTCCCATTCTCTCCCTTAGAAGACTTGATGTTTTGTAAACAAAGAGCTGTAATGTTTTCTCAGGTCAAGTAAACAAATTTTGCATAAACCATCTGCATAGTGCATTTTGCATATCTTGCAAAGAAGAATGATGAGCATTTAGTTGCTTAATTGAGAGACACTTTATGAGAATAGGCTACTTTTCCAATAATTACCTTTCTTCTGTAATTGTCCCTATACCAGTTATTTCAGTTATCCACGGTCAACCACTGTCAAAAATTTTAATGCAAAATTCCAGAAATAATTCATAAATTTTAAATAACTTTCCAGTATAATGTTGTAATTTTTTGTTTTATTATTGTAGTTAATCTTACTATGCCTAATTTATAAATTAAGCTTTATTGTAAGTATGTGTACATGGAAAAAACAGTATATTTGTGGTTCAGTGCTATTTGAGGTTTTAGACATCTTTCAGACATCTTGGAACATATCCCCTTCCTACTTTGATCTTACTGTCTCAGGTCTCCTACCAGTATTTGTTCTGTGGAAAGGAAAGTA